TATATATATATATATATATATATATAATATCTATGTCAAAGCTAACACAAGCAACGAAATGAACATCGGCATGAGAGTTGGGAAACATGACCGGACAATTTGCCGAAAAAAGTTTGGCCTAAGGACAGTTCGCCCACGAACAGTTTGCCTATTAGGCAAAATATCCATTAAAAAACCGTCCGTTAGGCAAACTGTCCTTAAGCAAACTGTCCTTAGGCAAAACGTCTTTAGGCAAGTTGTCCGGGTACCGTTGGGAAACGAAGGATGTTTGTGTTGGTCATCGACCGAACATACTATCGGTGGTCAATGAACATGGTTTTTCTGACGCCATCGAGCGATCATTTGCTTTCGATTTCGGTTGTCGCTGGCCAGCCCATTGAGTTTTGATGGCTATCCACTCAACTCTCTTGTGAACGAATCGAATGAATCGTCAGATCAGATTTGAAAATTTGAAGAAATCCTCACGAAAGGGTCTGATGATACTCGAAAAATGGAATGAGCAACGAAGCAATTAATGGATTTGTGTTGAAAAAAGGTTAGTAGAATGATGATGCTGAGTTTAGTACTGTAATTGATCTATGCAGTTCGATAAATGAAAGAGCATATCAACAATGTTTATGCACTGATCAGTTTTCACTGAGCTCGCTCATAAACAGTCATCACATTGATAGAGGTTAAACATCATCATCTGATAATATTGTCAACACATTCACTTATGCACACTGACATTGAACAATCGGGAATTGAGGCTTTCTAAGGGGTTACATTTTTTATTAGCGAACTGTATGCTATATCTGTATGGTGAACTCTCATTGTTAACATACAAAGTGAATATCAGTTTTGCCATATTACTATCTTGCATGTTCATAAATACATCCATAAAAACAGACCTCTATTACATTCACATAGTATTCCCGTTCTCACATCTCCAATTTTATTGCTGCATTTTTTTCATTTTTCATTTGTGATTCTGCAAAAAAGCGGAAAACAGCGAAAGAAAAAACTTCGTTTCACACATGTATTTTGTTGTTGTTGTTGTTTTTGTTTGCTCGTTTTGTGATTACCGAAAATGGTGATGGGAATGGATGAATGCTCATTTCTTCTGTTCTTTGCATTAGTTGTTATAGATCGACCGTATCTCTCTAAACAATTCCCTTGCCTCAATTAAACCACTCTTGAACTGATCCCCGCAACAAAATTTCTGAGCATATATATATCCTCCATCCTAACAATCTCCAACGTTTAAACGTAACAATTCTTCCTCACTTCTTAACCCTTTCCTCCCAGTTCCCAAAACCGCTTTAAAAAAAGAAACGCCCTTGCTCACAAATTCATTTTACGCATAAACTCGTTTTTTTCCTGAGAATAACCTCGGAACAGTTTGCTAAACTAATTTCAACGAATTTCGGCATTAATTCACGTATTTAGTGGTCTTACTCGTGTGTTTATTGTTTGTATTAGCTATTCCACCGTGAAATTTTGTGAGGTTTGTATGTTCGCTAGATAGACCCCCTCCTTCAGAATCTATGAAACATTAATTATATAATCCCGGGTTCTTAGTCAATCAAATGAGGTATGAAATAATTAATTATTTTCATACATATTATTATATGTACAACTCTACACATCGTTTATGCTACTGAAAGAATTATTATGTTGTCATTAGTATATATATACTGTATATATGATACACAACTATATATGAGTGATATCCTTTTGTTTGTTTTTTCATGCACTTATTTTTTCCTTCTTTCGGCACTTTTTCGTTTTTTTGATTAATAGCATGTGTTACGATCACACTGTTATTTGAAAGTTCCATTGACATTGACGCCAACAAATTATGTATATGCATAGTCGGTGTAGAATATGATTAGATTGATTAATATAATGATATGAAGAATCAGCAAGATGCACAGCAAGTATTGGTCGAAGCTATGCATATTGTGGATAGATACAGAAACGCGTCCGTTTTCATAATTAGAACAATACTTTTGAGAGTGATCGTGATGATATTCATCAAAATAATAACAGCAATACTAATATAATAATAAAAAATAATAATAACCATACAAATGAATGAAAAATTCGATGAAACTAAAAAAGAGACTAAGGCGGCTGGAACAACAGGTTTCCTTGAAAATAATGAAACTGAATAACATTCACCAACACAGTATAACGCGATACTGCTTGAAGTGAAATGCTACTTGAGAGAAGTTATGCAAATAAGAGGGTGCAGAAAGCAAAGTGATAAAATCGTGTATGCAGTAATGATTATTTGGACTGAAAACAAAAACAACAAGAATTTCAAAAATGTAAAATTGAGCGAAATTCATGTGAACAAGGATAATAGTAATAATAATAATAATTATTATTATTATTATTATTATTATTATCATTATTATGATAATAATAATTGTTGTTATTATGATAATAGTAATGCGAATAATAATAATAATAATAATAATAATAATAATAACAATGATGAAAGGAATAATAGATAAATCGCAAAAGCAAAACAGCCTAATAAACGCATAAGAATCGTGATATTAACTGTAACGATAAGGAAAACAGTAATAACAAATTAAACAATAATGACAAATTTAATATGACACATTTGTTGATTTTTGAAAATGTCTTCAACCAACAACAATCACTTCAAATACTTCGAGCTTCATATTTGACATGAACGTGAACATTTGGAAGCGAACCGGTTTTATTTCGAAAAAATAGCTATTGTAGTTATTATTCGACGAAGTTTTATTTGTTTGCTGTTTGTGGTGAATCATATTTACGAAGAGTTTTTGCTTCACAAATATATTCATGAATATTTCAATGCGAAGTAAAGTTGTTTTTTTTTTTTTGAAAGCATTTCACTCGAATTTTAACACAGATGGGTAACCAATCACCATCCCTTGTGTGTAGTCTCAGTAATTATTAAAAATGAGACTTGAATATGCGAGAGCACTGAGCTTTATTCGCATAGGTAGATATGTCGTTCATGTTCTTTGAGATCAGCAAGAAACTGCAATACCTTTCTCTACGAACCTCAACGTTTATGTAACCTGAACGCATTCGCATGAAAACAACGATACAATCATCACTGATGTTTCATTTTTGCCCTACTGCAGACTAAGTGCCTATTAGAAATGGAATTAACCGTAAAATATATAGAACTCACAATCAGTAATGTGCACACATCAAGGCTGATAGTTCTAGAATGTCAAAGATTCACTCGAGAGAACATATTCTGTTTTGATACCAATTTTTAGACCGTCATTCCTCCAATAACCTATTAATTTCTAGCGATATGTCAGATGAAATACAAAAAAATTGCTTCAGTAACTAAGAATTCGTCGGTATTATCAAAGGATTAAAGGATTAACTCGTTTCTGATGTGATAAGCAATTTGAAGACATAAGTAAAGAATTATGGTGAAAATAGGAAAAAAACCAATCATCAATGACTTGTTAACCTACTTCATTTCTCCCTATATTCCCCAGTTTTTTTCTCAGGAACGGTTTTACCCCGCATCCATGAAGATCAGCGCTCCATCAGGATTTCATGAAAGGCATGAACTTGTTGATGAAACATGAAGACAATGTTCTTTGAATTCTTGAGTTATGATTGATAATTGAGAGAGTGATCAAATGTTATATAAAGTGATAGAGGGGCGGCACATTGGAATCGTTCAGCAATACGAATTACTAAAGGAAAAGTTACGAGCAGTTCTGGGACTGGGACGAGTTACGAGCATTCTTCACAAACACTCTCGTAACTAAAGATCTCCTCGTTTCGATTGTATCAAACAATGTTTAACTTGTTGGGCTAAGTGAACGTTTAAGAGACGACGTGTCTATCTTGAAGTCAACCATGCTTAATCCTGTCGTGCCTAATAGATTCAATCGATTGAGTGTTCCTCAATCGATTGAATTTAGTCGGGAATGATCATATGCTTTTCAGGAAACTTGTCTTTGGCTACAGTAGGTCAGAAACTTGATAAAACCATGAAAACAATCTTACTGGATTCTATACGTCTACAGTTAAGCATTTTCGGTAGGCTAGATTGTTGATTTTTTTTTGCATCTCAAGACGTGTTCGAGTTGAATATTTTATAATATTGTCCGAGCGCAAAATGCTTTAGGGGCACTTTTTTATTTTTGGGGGGGGGGGGGGGGGGGGGG